GTGGGATTTATAATATTTTTAGATAAAATATATATGACAACTAAAAAGTAAAGAAGGAGTTTAAAAATTTCTATTTTTTGAAAGGTTATTACACTTTATATGAAGTGGTCCAATATTAAATCTAAGTAGACTGTGAGAAATTAAGGATGTATATTGTGATCCCTAGAGCAACCATTTGAAACACTACAAAATGATATGACTAAAAAACCAAAACCCATTAAAAGGGAATTCCCAATTAAATCAAAAGAAGTTAAGAAAGTAGAAACATAGAATCCAAAAACAAATGCAAAAAATGGATGGCACGAATGGAAAACAGCTAGTAAAGTGACAGGTCTCACTATCTCAAACATAGCAATAATTGGATTAAATGTAAATGAACTAAACACTCCTGCTACAAGTCAGAAATTCTCAGAATAGATAAAAGAGCAAGACCCAACATAGTCTCTCCACAAGAGATGAATTTTAAATATAAAAACACAGATAGGTTGAAAGTAAATGATAATAGAAGATAAATCATGCAAACAGTAAATTAAGAAGGTTGGAGCAGCTATATTAACATGAGATATAATAGATGTCAAGACAGAGTATTACTAGAGATAGAGACATAACAGAACAATAAAAGGACAGATTTGGAAAAAGACATAACAATCATACACATATGTGTCTAATAAAAGGTTCAAAATACACTAGATGAACAAATAATGTAAATAAAGGGAGAAAGAGACAAATCCACAATGATAGTTAGTTTTCTCTCAGCAATTGATAGAAGAAATGGACAAAAAATCTGTATAACGCTATCAAAGTTCTTTACCTAACTGACATTTATAGAGCACTACACCCAACAAGTGCAGGATAAATATTCTTTTCAAGTGTACATGGCATGTCACCCAAGATAAACCACATTTTGGGCCGTAAAACAAGTCTTAATACATTTAAAAGGATTGCAATAATACAGAATATGTTTTCTGACCACAATAGAAACTGATAACATAAGGTATAAAGGAGGAATAAAACCCAAATATTTGGAAATTAAACAACACACTTGTCAATAGTGCATGAGTTAAAGGAAAAAAATCACAAGATACATTAGAAAAGATTTCAAACTGAATTACAATGAAAATGTAGCAAATCAAACTTTGTGGGATACAGCTAAAGCAGTGCTTAGAGGGAAATTTATACCTTTTAAATGTCTAGATAAGGAAAGGATAAAGGTTCTACAGCGAGACCTAGAGAGAGAAGAGCAAAGCAAATCCAAAGTGAGTAGAAGGAAGGAAATAATAAAGCGAATAAATCAATGAAATAGAAAACAGATAAATGATAGAGAAAATTAGCACATAAAAAAATTCTTTCGAGGGGCTGGCCAGTGGCAGAACGGTTACATTTGTGCACTCCACTTTGGCAGCCCAGGGTTTCACCAGTTCTGGTCCTGGGCATGGACATGGCACTGCTCATCAGGCCGGGCCAAGAAGGTGTCCCACATAGCACAACCAGAGGCACTCACAACTAGAATATACAAGTATGTACGGAGGTGCTTTGGGGAGAAGAATTTAAAAGAAAAGAAGACTGGGAACAGTTGTCAGCTCAGGTGCAAATCTTTAGAAACAAAAAATTATTTTGAAAGGATAACGAAGTTGATAAGCCCTAGATTGCCTGATCAAGAAAAAAATGAGAGAAATTCCCAATACCAGGGAAAAATGTATGAATATACTATAGATGCTATAGATATTATGAACTTTATGTTAATAAATTCAAAAACCTAGATGAATGGACACATTTCCTGAACAATGCAATTTACCAAAACAGACACAAGACAAAATAATAAATTTAACTAGCCCTACATCTATTAAAGAAACTGAATTTCTTATTGAAATCTTCACTCAAATACAACATCAGGGGCAGATGGTTTCACTGGTGAACTCCCTTAAACATTTAGGTAAGAAAAGATAGCAATATTACACAAGTGCTTTCCAAAACAGCAGAGGAGGAAACACTTTGCAATGTGTTTTATGAGGCCAGCATGACCCTGATACTAAATCTACAAAGATATTTCAAAGAAAGAAAATTAAAACACTAGTCATGTCAAATTAGCCACCTGGTTGGTTTCCTTTCCCCACTACCAACAGGAGGCAGGCTGCCCCGAATTTGGAGGAGGGAAGAGGGGAGCAGGCAGGCTGGCTGGTGGTTTACAATGCCAAACTTCTGCACAGCCCCTGACTTAACATAGAAATGATGCAATCCAATCTGACTTTCTTCAGGTTCCTGCAAGATCTGGACAGAAGGCAGAAGTGGGTGAAGAAATGTAGGACAGCTGACTCAGAAGATAAAATGCCTGATCAACTAAGTAAGCGTTATTGCCAAACACCTTCAGAACTCTATGATTTGTAGATCTAGTGCATAAGAGACTTCTGTGAGATTATGCTGTGCCAGCAATAGTTGACTTTACCAGTCATCTGAACAATCCACGTGGTAGACACTGAAAACGGAAAAAATAGCTGAGTGATAATGAATTCAGAACACACACACAGAAAAAAAATGATGAGACTTCTGAACAGGAAGAAACACTTAAATAAAGAAACAACAGCAATACTCAGAATTCCAGTGCAGAGGAAGAAGGGTAAAGAACAAGACGAAGACGTTTTCTCCTTAAACTTTGAAGAGAATGAAAATGAAGTTCACCTAAAATCTTTATTTGAGGTTTAATTCTTATAAAGCACACATCTGGATTAACATGAGGCTGACAAAATCTCAAAAGATCTCTTTTCCCCTGATAATGTTCCAGTAGTGCTGGAGTGCAGAGTGTATTCTGGTGAGGCATTTCTAAGAAAGTGCTTTGAGACAATAGCAGTCAACACATCAATCCGTTTGAAAACACAGCAGAAACAGGTGCTAGAGATCTGTGAGAGCTCCATGGGGGAAGGAACAGGGATATGAGAGGCTCTCCTCTTTTCCACTGTCACCGATAATAGGGTGGACATAGCAGGGGAAGAGCGGTCACCAGGATTGATGAACCTCAAGACCAGAGTGAGGAATATGGACTTCTGACCTCCTGAAGCTGATGCAGAAATTTTGGCTGTGAAATTTCTCACTGCAGTAACTGAGAAGCGGGCAATGACCATGAGCACTGGTGTGAGCTGGCTTAGATTATGTCTAGTGGGCTTTCTCCTCAAACGCAAGTCACAGTAACTAGAATTTTAGGGAAATAACCCCAAGATATCTATGCTCTCTCTTTTTCCTCTGCCTTAGAATGTTGTTGTCAAAAGCAGTGTCTATTGTGGGAGTATCTGTTGCTCTGGGAGCAATTAAAGATAATTAAAGATGTTTGTTCTTTTTTCTGTCAATCACAACTGCTTTAGAACTCCACAATATAATGTCTGTCCTCTTTCAGTTCTATGAAGGAAAAAAGGCAAATGAACTGAAGGAAATTTGCTATTCTGAATGTATCGGCAAGTATGACATTTTTAAAATTTTTGTGGAACTCCTGCAAGTACTTATGTTTAAGTGGCATAAATAATGATACAAATGTTAGAGGGAATCACTTTATAGCTGGTTGAATTTTTGTTCTCTTTAGTGCAACTGACTTTGCTTTCATTATTATCATTGTTGTTTACCAAATGTCTTATTTTTAAAAAGAGCCTTTGGAAAAAATCTCCAAGGCCACACCTCTGACGTCTTCTTTGTAGCAGGCAGCTTGACTGCAGAATTGCATTACGTGAAGAGATGGAAAATATTTATGTTTATCATAAATTTTGATTTGAGAGAGCCATGGATTTGGCACCAAACCTGATATTTAAATAAGATTTCCTGAGAAATTCCTCGGGCTCAGCAAGATAATGTAGAACTCAACTAACCTTTGAGGATTACTACAAACAAATAGTGTTCCAAAAATGAAGCACGTGACTTAGGACCTTAAGGATATTTTCTTAGAACAGCACCTCACAGTTCTTAATTATTGTATCTCTTGTAGCCTCAGTCATAGAACAGCTCACACTCAACACCATGCCAACCTGTACCAAACTGACCTATCCAATCCAACACACTCTCTGCCAGCCTTCTTTGTTGGAGGGTCAAGCTGAAACACAGAGGAAAAGAAATGGAGCTTCTATCACCAGGTACAAAGCCCCCATAGTCTCCAAGTTTTTTCTTAATGTCTGTGCGTTACTGAAGGTCCTATATATTCTTCCTTCGTGACGTCTGAGGAGAGCTATGAAATTAGATGAAAACATCTTAAAGCAAAACTAAGAAATACTTCAACAGACCAAAGGTCAAATAATTTAACTACACTTAACATAAATCTTGATACAAAATATGATCTTAATTTCATGGTAGACACATATATCAAACTATACATTTAAGACTGGGCTTCCCTTAAATACTTTTTAAAAACACTGAAAATACCTAAGAGAAGTTTGAAAATAGGTTTTATCCCTGTACTTGATATTTGGAGGAAAAGCTGTAAGGTGTGTATACGCCACTTAATCGCTGAATATTTGCTTATGAGCCTTTCATTGAATTCATTAAACATTGATAAACCACCTGTTAAATGGCCACTGTTTGAACTTTCATTCTTTGAAGACCTCTCTTTTCAGAAGACAGTATTGAAAAGACATTTCATTTCCGTGTGATCTCTGTTTGTCATACTCTGGGGGTATTTTAGTTAAGTCATTTTGAATTTAACATTATTATTACTATGAATCTAATTATCAGGTATTAGTTTCCAGTTCTTTGAAGAAGTAACTGTTGGGGAAGTGTGGGGAGGACTATATTTTGTAAAACATTACAGTAAAACTCAGGACTGACCAGTGACTGGCAGGTGTTTTAGTAAGCTGTTAAAAATCTCTAATAGGCAGTTGAGGAAATTACCAACACGTAGAAGAAACTGTGAGCTCACCAAGTAGAGATTTCAGTGTAGATTTTCCCTCGATTAAGTGAGTGTAAAGAGAAAATTGAAGTTTGAATAGAGAGCAATCCATTGTTGTTCCACATCTGGTTGTTATTTATATTCATTTGTTGAATTTATACCTTAACTGAGTCGTAAGCTTTGTAGCAAGTGCATATTGAACATTTTTGTTTCATGATCAACACAGAATCAGATGCCAAGGATACTGACCATCTATTTGATTGTTTTCTTCTCAGGACCATGCCCACTACCTCGTCTTGATTTATAAGAATTCCTGGGAAAAATAGAAATTTTGTTGTTTACGTAGGAACAATACAGAAATTATTGCTGTTATTTTTGGTGAGAAAAGCAAATTTTGTACAGTGAATTTTAATCTAAATAAAATGTGAATTTTATCTTTTTAAAGAAAATTGCCAAAAGAAAAATCCTTTATAACCATAGATGCAAAACTCCTTAATAAAATATTGGGAAATCAAATCCAGCAATATATTGAAAGATTGATGCTCCATGACAAAATAGAGTTTATCTCAAGAATACAAGGTTGATTTCACGTTCAAAAGTCAATCAATATTACTTATCATATTGACAGAGTAAAGGAACAAAACCATAAATCATTCTCAATAGATGCATAAAAAGCACTTGACAAATTTAAAAACTCATTCATGATATTAAAAAAACTCTAAGTAAGCTAGAAATAGAAGGGAACTTCCTCCACTTGATAAAGGATATTGATGAAAATCTTACAGTTAATATGATGCTCAATGGTGAGAGACTAAGCGTTTTCCCTCCAAGACTGCACACATGGCAAAGATTTCCCCTCTTAATGTTGTAATGGAGTACCTAGCCATGGAATAGGGAAAAAAAGAAACAAAGAACATAATGTGTGTTTTTTTAGAAAATTCTAGGGAACCTATAAGTAACTACTGGAACTGATGAGCAAATTCTAAAATGTTGCAAGATACATAATCAATATTGTAAAATCAACTATTCTTTTATTTTTCATTGGTTTTCTGCTAACAAAATTTTAAAATTTCATTTATAATAGCAATTAGAAAACAAAATACTTAGAAATAAATTAAACAAAAACATGCAAGATCTCTCCACTAAAATTTACAAAACATTGCTGAGAGAAATTAAGGAAAACCAAATACAAGGACATATATACCGTGTTCATGGATTAGAAGACTCAAGTGAATTTGAAAGTAGGAGGATTTACGCTACCTGAATTTAAAATTTACTAAAGCTACATTAATTAAGATGGGTGATACTGGCATGAGGACTGACAAATATCAATGGAACAGAATAAACAGCCTAGAAATAGACTCATACTCATGCAACCAATTAATTTTCAAGAAAGGCACCAAAGCAATACACTGGGGCAAGGAAAATCTTTTCAACAAAAGGTACTGGAATACTTGGATAGTCAACTGGGAAATGTTTATCCAAAGGAACCTGGGTGTTCTTCAGCATTGCTCTTGTCCAATACACTAATCTGATGTGTTGTCCTTTTCCATCTACAAATTAGTAATATAGTATCAGCCAAGCAAAGCACTGTTTCCACTATTATGATAATATTCCTACTGCAGGAGCACTCTTTTTCTTTTCATAAAAATAAGCTTTTTAAATTATAAAAGCAACAGTTTTTCATAAATGGCAGCTCCAATGTTAAAGAATAAAATAAACAAAAATTATCCATAATCACACAACCAAGGAATCACCAAAATTGACATTTTGGGGGGGCTCTTTCTAATTTTCTATATATATGATGTCATAAATTTATATAATGCATTTTTTAACCTAATATTATTTTGCATGTAATTTTTTTCCCAAGACTCTTTGAGATTTTATTATTTTTGTTTACATGTAATATGAAAATATTAGCTTTCATTTCAGCATATTTTCATGAAGTTGTAATTTCATTTCCTGAAGACATAAATTTTAACTGCAAGTTATATCCACATTGCACTTCCAATAGGCATCTATTTCTGAAGTATCTGCCAAACTCATGACTCTTCCACGGAAATTGCCCATTCACTCCTTATCCAAAATGTAACTTTACAGTTGAACAAGAATGACTCAGGAAAGTAATCATGGAACAAATTTTATTTTAAATTTACACTGTTACTTCAGATTTATTTTGTATGTTTAGTTCTTCTCTTGCCCCTGATGATATTTCGGGAAGGTAAAAAAACTGAGCATTTCAAAATTATATTTAAGTATCCTATGACAAGAAAACCCACAGAAACAGTCTCCAGGCAGCCAAATTTACAGAGATAATCTGTTCCAAGGCCACAATTGCATGTTAAAGTCCTGGCAACCTGAACTAAATGGGCCAATAATGCTCTCACCCAGGAATTTCAAAATCAGGTCCAGTGTGAAGCTTGCCTCTTCATGTGGCCTATAATTACAGCCCTCTTTGTGGACTGAAGACCAGAGAAAGGCAGTCTTCAGAGAATGAAGCCAGGGGGAAATGCAAAAAGGAGAAGCAGATATGGACCAAGAGCACTTCCTGGGTTCTGTCAGATGTTAGTTGGTGGTTTCACTTCCTTCCGTTGCATTCCTGCCTTTGGTTCTGTGAAATGCCTCAATCACTGTACTTCCCAGCTGCCCCAATTTTTTTTTTTTTTTTTTTTTTTTTTGTCGAATCGAGTTTCTGTTAAAGAGGCCCAAATAATACAAAAATGAATATGGCTCGTGGGAGGTTTTTTCTGACGAACAGCCAACCCTATTCATGACCAGTATGTTCTTTGGCTTTGCCCATGAAGAGGGCCCTTCTCTGATCTATCCCCTCAATCTAAGGGTCCATGTTAGCTGTTAACTTATTGTGCTCCCTGCTCACTCACTAAGGTGCTGAATGTAGAGTTACCCAGATCATTTCTGCTCTTTTGAAGCGTCAATGTCAAACTTTTAGGTATGTTTTCCAGACTTGAGAGAGTACGTTATCAGAGAATGCATAGAATTTAATATTCAGTGACGCCTTCAGGTTCGTTTTTAATTATAATGACTTTGTGTTGTTCTTAGAAAGGAAATCAAGTTTTATTTGGCTTACTATTATTTCCAATGTAGACAATATTTTTAATACTGTGAGAACGAAGCATTTCAGTTTTTTTGGCTTCTGAATGTCAGTGAGTTCTGCTTTCAGAAATTTGCCTTGAGTAAAGTATAAATCTATGTGACATATTTTTAGTGACTATGGCAAAAAGAATGACATTCATTCACATTGCTAAATAAAAATTTTCCCGTATTACAAATGTAATTTTTATTGGTTAGTGTAGCTCTGAGGATATGTCTAGAAAACCAAAGATAGTAGAGAATTAGCACAACTCTAAAATGTCCTGATAGTTAATTTTTCCTCACATGATTTATAAAATTATCTTTACAACTCATTTAAATATTTTTAGCTTTTTTAGAAACCGGTTTGTAGAACATATTAGGTTTTGGAAACTTGGTTTCTCTGCACTATTCTCAAATGATTGTGAAACTCTATTAAATTAGGTGAATCAAGCACAAATTATGCAATAAATATTCACCTTTGTGCTAGGGGATACAGGTGTTAGAGCAAAACAAAAAGAGAGATGAGAAAGGCCTTTGCCCTCCTTGGCCTTGTAAAGTAGTTGGGAGGAGATATCCAGCAACGGCAATAAAACAAGAGAGTGTAGAGTGATGCGTATGCTGATTTTTAGAAGTTCTGAGATGGAGGAGAAACAGATGGAAAAAAGGTAAACACAGAAGCTAAGAGCAGAGTACAGAGAGAGAGAGTATATCTTGCATTTCTGACAACTTTTCTGTCATTCCCTTTTTGGAATGACACTGAAATGAACTGAAAAGCTGAAAATATCAGAGAACTCCTTAAAGAGGTATGATGTGATTTGGGGCCTGGAGGGAGAGATAGGATTTTGAAAAGATAAATGGCTAAGTAAATAACATAAGCCCAAGTATGGAGATGAGAATACACTCAGTTTTGCAGAGAAGCAATTAACTCTTATGGAAGCCACGAGAAATAATACTGAGCGAGCATGGTGGATGAAGAGAAGTCAGAGGATTTTAAATGTGAAGGACACAGGGAATCATTGAGCAAAAGAACAAGAAAGTGAAAATTGGGTTTGGGGAGATTAGTTAGGCAAAGTTTAGAAAGATGCATGGGAAGGGTGGAGACTGGAACCTGACAAGCTAATTAGGGCATTGCTGTAGTAATCCTGCCATGAGGCAATGAGGGCATGGACTGGAAAGTGTCTTTGCAAATAGGGAGGAGGAATAAGAGATTTCAAGGAAGAAGTATATTTAATCTTGTGTAAGCTGAGTTAGAAATGATGATAGAACTTCTTGTCTAAAATGAGTCAGGCGGTCTGACGCTGAATGTTAGGGAAGAGGACAGCATGGAGAAATAGGTTAACATAGATTTAGTAGTCAATGACATAGACCTTACAGCTGAAGCCAAGAGAATAAAGGAGATTTCTGAAAGAAGGATTGTGAAAGGGAAGAACAGAGCAATGTGAGCTGGGAAGCACCCATATTTAGGGTATAGGACAAGTAAAATGAGCCAAAGTAGAGGGAATATGTGGCCTGGGATGTGAGACCCAAGACAGTGTGGTGGGAGAATTAAGGGGACCAGGGTGGTTTAAGGAGGGAAGATGTCGTCCCCAGTGTGAGAAGGAAGCTGAGTAATCCAAGAAGGTGAAGACCTTTAGGAAGAAGATTTTCAATAGTGATCTGGGACTGGAAGCCAGATCACATGACAAAGGAGAGGAGTGGTGAGCCAATGGGCCAGTGGACATGGGCAGAATAACAAAGCAATTAGGAGGACAGTCTCTGATGTCTGCTCTACCTGATTCCTGGCTCTACCCAAACTGGACAACTTAAGATGCAGAAGTTCACCTAAGTCTCCATGCAGTGGGTTGAATAGTGTCCCCCCAAACTCATGTCCTTCCCAGAACCTCAGAATGCGACCTTATTTGGAAACAGTGTCTCTGCAGATGTAACTAGTAAAGATGAGGTTAAACTGCAGTAGGGTAGGCCTTACTCATATGACTGATATCCTTATAAGAAGAGGAAAGGACAGGGAGAAAGACACACACAAGGAAGATGACCATGTGAAGATGGAGGCAGAGACTGGAGTTATGCAGCTGCAAACCAAGAAATGCCAAAGACAACTGGCAACACTGGAAGCTAAGAGAAAGGCACAGAACAGATTCTCCCCTAGAGCTTTCATAGAGAATATGGCCCTGCTGACGTCTTGATTTTGGACTTCTAGCCTCCATGACTGTGAGAAAATACATCTTGGTTGTTTTAAGCCACCCAGATTGTGGTACTTTGTTATGGCAGCCCTAGCAATCTAATATACTTGGTTACCTCATCCTTAAGGTGAGGATACTAACACTTTCCTAATAGGGAGAGTTAGCAATAAGACATGAAAATTACTTAGCACGGTGTCTGCCCCATAGGAAGAGCTCAGTTACGTGTTGCCATATATTATGTTATTATTTTAGCAATTTGGTGTGGAGGAAAGAAAAAGTCATCTTGGATAAACCATGGAGATAATGAAGTAAATGTTGTTATTGTTTCTTTCTAAATAGGAGTTATTTGTGCATATTTAAACACAGAAAATAAGATCTATAGTAAGAGGGGTAGACTGAAGAATTTGGCGATAATATACATCTTCATCAAAGGCAAAACCCAGTGCAAATGAAAGATTTTAAGAGATATGACTATAAAGTAATAGACTACATACTTTCTTTTTATTGAGGTATAAATCACATATAACATTAGTATATTAGCTTCAGGCATACAATGTAGTGATTTTATATTTGTATATATTGCAAAATGATCACCACAATAAGTAT